GCCCTAAAGAAGGACGGACATCACGTAATAACTCAGTATCCTTTGCTTTGTTACCAAAGAAATCCTCCTGTCTCGCAAGATTCCGCCCATCTTTTGGAATGTGTCCTTTGCCATCTTAATACGTCTACGGATCCCAGTGTCGCACTTACAGTCCTCTGTTAAAACGCTACCCAGATATTTAAACTTCCGCGTCTGCTTGATTCTAGCGTTCTCGACCTGTAAATCGTATTTCGGGTTCATCCTCTTGATACAGTTTAACCTTTTAAAAATACGTGCATTTCTCTCTCTAGCCCTTTTTTTTTTAAAGCTGTTTAGCTCTGGTCTTCAGATGAAGTCGATGTGGGTAAAGTGTCGTTATTTTATATTTATTTTTTCCCGTTACTAATTTTTTACTTGGACTCATACTGAGTCCCCCGATATTATTTGTAGGATAAATTTTCTAGGAGGCCGCAAATATTTACTCTCTAAAGTGTTGATGTTGTTTAGATAATGGTGAATAATATTTATCCGCTGAACTTACTAGCATTGTGCAACAATTCTGTGGATGTGTGATTTCTAATCATTTTTTTTTATTTACAGATAATGCTTTCGAAAAAAACTGTCTCAAGCAAGTTACACCGCAAAAATAAGAAAAAAGAACTTACACACACACACACACACACACACACACACATATATATATATATGTATATATATATATATATATATATATTGAATATTTTTACTAATCTGGAGAATTTTCAATAAGATGGATAAATAACTTTACAACTAATTACAATCTTATTGAAGGCTTGATTGATTCTTTTTATTCAGTGATTGAGAGGTAGAATGATTGTTTAAATTGAATTGACCTATTTGTAAAATGAAATGAAATTAAACTGGTCTATTTTTAATATGAAATTGAACTGGCCTATTTTTAATATGAAATTGAACTGACCTATTTGTAAAAAGAAATGCAAGTGAAGTGACCGATTTGGAAAATAAAATGAAAGTGACCTATTTGGAAAATGCAATAAAATTGAACTGGCTTATTTATGAAATAAAAGAAATTGAACTGACCTTTTTGTAAAATAAAATGAAATTAAACTGACCTATTTGTCAAAGGAAATGAAATTGAACCATTTGTAACGTAAAATGAAATTGAACTGACGTCTTTCTAAAATAAAATGAAAGTGACCTATTTGTTTAATATAATAAAATTACACTGATCTATTTATAAATTAAAAAGAAATTGAACTGGTCTATTTGTAAAAAGAAATGAAAGTGCCATATTTGTAAAATACAATAAAATTGCAATGGAATATTTGTAACATAAAATGAAATTGAACTTACGTATTTGTAAAAGGAAATGAAATTGAAATATTTCTAAAGTAAAATGAAATTGAATTGACCTTTTTGTAAAATGAAATTGAACTGACCTTTTTGTAAAATAAAATGAAATTGAACTGACCTCTTTCTAAAATGAAATGAAAGTGACCTATTTGTTTAATGTAATAAAATTGCACTGATCTATTTATAAATTAAAAAGAAATTGAACTGAGCTATTTGTAAAAGGAAATGAAATTGAACTGACTTGTTTGTAGCAAGAAATGAAATTGAACTGATCTATTTGTAAAATAAGATAAAATTACACTGACATATTTGTAAAATAAAAAGAAATTGAACTGCTCAGCTCAGTACAAAATTACTGAAAAATAGTAAAAATGAAAATGTTTTTTTTTGTAAAATAAAGTTCTTCGAATCTTAAAAACATCGAAAAAGTTTTCATTCATTAGCTATTAATTTACATTTTGTCTTATTTTTTCCGATTGTTACAACAATTTAGGTGGAACCAGGGATATTAACTCCCATAATTTCATCTCTTCTCTCTCTCTCTCTCTCTCTCTATATATATATATATATATATATATATATATATATATATATATATTGCCATCCGCAGACAGACTCATCTCAGCTCACACCCATCAGGTATGGCTAAACATCCGGTTGCCTCTTGATAGAATCGAAACCCGGCTGTATGGTCGTCAGCGCACGGCAGGCAAGAAGGTGAATTTAAGAGAGAACTCGATTCAATTTACCGAAGAGTATATATATTATTTTTGTCTTCGAACACAGTAAGGACTTTCATTCGAATATTTAAGAAAAGGAGTAGTTGGTATAAACTTGTACCAGGTGGATTTTTCTCCCCACAAAAAAAGTTTAATCGTCAATTTCCATCGATATTAAACCTCAAGGACACATGGCACAGTGGATAAAGGCGTTGGTTAGATCCAGTGACAGGACCCAAAGAGTGTGAGTTCAATACTTTCAGAGGGAAATTAGCAGGAGATAACTGATAACTGACATCCATCAAACATGGCACGTAGAACTAGAACAGTCTACCCCGGTGAGCGAAATGAAGGGTTCAGTTCGACATTCCAACCACCTGAAGAAGGCCGAGATGTACAACGGCCGAAACGTTGTGATAAATATGGCGACAAAGATAAGGACAATAGTCCGAATAATGTAAATAATGCAATCCATAGAATTTCAATTTTCTCTTCTTATCGTTGATTATGAAGTTTTCCACTAGGCTTCTTTCTATGCTTGATGGTGTCTTGCGCTGCAACATTTGTGACGCAGTCTACCGCTCACATTTGAATTGTAGAATATTTAGAACATAAATTTATATAACGCGAAAATATTGTGCCTGATGTTTTCCATACAATTCTCTAAGACAGGTGTGTGGGCTTGAGATGATTGTTGTTTGCTTGTAGGTGGGATTCATTTATAAAGCTGGTGGAATTTCAGAGTTGCCTGAAGAAAGAGGAGAGCACTGTTTTGTCTACTCAAAGTAGAACTGTTTGCGACTTATGTATTTAAGAATTAGCACCAACTGCTTGTACATTTGGCACGTAATGAAAGCAATATCTTCAAAAAAACTTAACGTGTGAATGTTATGTATGTGAAAGATTGCTTGTGTATGTTGTGTTGATTTGCTTAGGTCGGGCTCGGTGTTTATACATGAGAGTAAAGATTATTCTGTTTTTGAGAAGGGGTATCTAGAGGCAGATCACAAATACCAAGGAACCTTTTGTTATTATATAAGACATGGCCAATATGACTGAAAAATACTGGAAGCGCAAATATAGTAATTACCGAGCACGACACCTTTAGTCTAAGTCCTGTTTTATCGAATAAACTTAACTGGCATACACACACACGCGCGCACACATACACACACACACACCTTTCATTATATTACGTATATATTCTATATTACCTGACGCATCTTGAAGACGCCTACGATATGGTGTTGAAACGAATTGTCTGAATAATTTTTATCTTATCATATCTACATAAAAATATTATAAATTTCAAAATTGCTATATATGTATGGAAATTGAGTTTCGTTAAAAACGAATGACAAGGTTTCATTTTAAAACACTCGGAGACCTAACAAACTCTATCCACAACATCCTCGTTAGTTTCCACAAGGTAAAAGTCAATGGCATCTACTATGAAGAAGGTCATGATGTCCTGACCGTGTTTGTAAAATAAAACATTACTATAACTATAGATACATGCATAAGGAAGATCCATACATTCAGTTAAAAATAAAATCTTCCTTGATAATGGCTAAAGTATAGTCGAAAGCGCTCAGACTTACAGAACATCCAGACAATTTATGCCCAAAAAAGAAACACAAATATAAGAACACAAGAAGAATTAAATAAAAAAATTTGAACCTTGTCAGTCGTTCATAATGAAACGTGTATAAAAAGGGATTGCTTCCCAAATACACAATTACACACACACACACAATATATATATATATATATATATATATATATATATATATATATTTAGAGAGAGAGAGAGAGTTGGTGAAAGAGAGAGTATTACTTTTTCTTATTCCTGTAAATGACACCTGTTTGAGTTATTTTTTCACTGTTTAAGAAAATAAAATAAACAGTGTTAAAAACTCAAAAAAAAAAATATATATATATATCCGAACATACACACACAGACAAACACACACACACACACATATATATATATATATACACACATATATATATATATATATATATACTTTATGCATTTCTCTTTATTCATATTGCAGATATACTATATCTTAATTTTTTACACTCACACACTGACGTACACACAAAACGCACACGCTGACATAAATTTATATATATATATATATATGCATATATGTATGCATATATATATATATATATATATATATATATATATATATATATATATATTATTACTATAAACGTTATTTTAGTGGTACACTTTTTGCGTTTTGTATTGTTTATTTTATTTTTTCTTAACCAGTGAAAAATAATAACTCAAACATGCGTCATCTACAGGAATAAGAAACATTAATTCAATATATATATATATATATATATATATATATATATATATATATATATATATATATATATATATATATATATATATATATATATATATATATATATATATATATATATATGCATATATATATGTGTGTTTGTGTGTGTGTTTGTATTTGTGTTTGTGTGTGTGTGCCTTATATAATAATTCTGGTCTTAAATTATCAGCACACCCAGATTTCTGACATTCAAGCATTTTAGCGATATTGTGTGGGGTCTATATTTAAGCCACTTGGAAGGAAACCATATTTGGCCCTCATATATATCCAGTGTTTCATAAACCTTCTGATTAGTTTCTGATTGACCGATTGCAAACAGATAGAAGGAAAATATAAAATCGTATTGAATCGTACGCGAAACAGCATTGCACCCATACTTTTTTTTTAGTTCATATAAGGTGAATTTAGAAGCAATAGGGGCAGGGAGTTGGCATCGTATAATTCGACTGATACAATGAATTGGTCAAAACTTGACAAAGACTTCCCCAAAATATACTTAATGAAAAAATCGACAAATATGAACATTTGATAAAATATTAATTTTTATTCGTTTTATATATATCTTCTCTTTCATACTTTAAAAAAAATGTATATTTCCATGTGTGTTGATCTATCTATCTATCTATCTATCTATCTATCTATCTATCTATCTATCTATCTATCTATGTCAGTCTATTCAGATCTATCTCTCTATCTATGTCAGTCTATTCAAATCTATCTATCTAAGTCTATTGAGATCTATCTATCTATCTATCTATCTATCTATCTATCTATCTATCTATCTCAGTCTATTCAGATCTATCTATCTATGTATCTATCTCAGTCTATTCAGATCTATCTATCTATCTATCTCAGTCTATTCAGATCTATCTATCTATCTATCTATCTCAGTCTATTCAGATCTATCTATCTATCTATCTCAGTCTATTCAGATCTATCTATCTATCTATCTATCTATCTATCTATCTCAGTCTATTCAGATCTATCTATCTACTGTGTTCCTTTCTTTGATGGAAGTTATGATTATATTATATGGATAAAAATCCACCCGATACAACCTTATACGTACCATTCCATTAATGAAACATCTTACGTGTGTTGGAAGCCTATTTTAAGGAGTTTGCCTGTACATTTATTAAAAGTGGTTGTAGAAAGAAGATTTTTCCCTAAAAGAATAATCTTCTTAGTCGTTTACTTGAAAGTCAAAATAAATATTCTGTGACATGAACAAAAAGAATGATATTAAATATTCCATGAGTCGTTAGGAAAAAATTAAACTCGTTCTTAGTTTTGCCGAATATAAGTCCCTTCCTGTTTCTTGTTTTATTTCAAATTTCTCTTTATGTTCCGTGTCCCCTCAGGGCGTAAGCGATCATGTCTCTCCACAACTTCCTGTCCCCTGTATCAATTAATAAACTTTATCTTTCTGTTATTTCTCCCAATCCCTGATCCGCCATCATTTATTCAAGATCACTAAATGTCATGCGATTTTTTTCATCTTATAAAATATCAGTCCTGTGAGTATCAGATTTCCAAGCCTTCCTTCCTCATTAAATGCCCCAGAAACACCAACTCTATCTTCCTCTTGTTATGTACTCGTTTTCTTTTTGTTTCTATTTTCTCCCAAAATTTTGTCGTTCTTCCCCTTTTCTGTCCACGCTATCTTCAGCATCGTTCTGTAGAACGATATTTCTGTCTCCTCTTCATCTTTGAGGAGACACTAACACCCAGGAGGACAGATACCACAAATCAGTGTAGTACTTTTCTCACTGTTTCTAGAGAAAATTTTCTATTTCTCAATACTTTCTTAGCTCTTGGAATGCTTCCTTGACTACTACAATACACGTTCAGACCTCGATGTCACACCATCTGTCCTGTGTTAAAACATTTCCCAGATATTTAAATATCTGCACTTGTTTGAGTTTGGTATCCGATTTGCAATTCGCATTTATCTTTTGCTGGATTTTGTCGAGGACCTTAAGACGAACAGCAGGGGCCCAGACTATATATGACAGCAGTGTTCTTTGCAAGGGCAAATGATTGATTTATAGATTTGAAGGATGGACTCGGGTGCCGAGATAGAGCCTTGAGGAAAACCTGAGTTCGTTAGAAAAGAACTGGAGGAGAATCCATTAAGGACGTCCTTCATTACACGGACTGAATTGAAGCACAAAAAAAAAAGATTTTAAAATCGAAATTTTGAAAACGCCAGTGGAACCTAAATTCTCTGCGTAAAGTCAAATCCCTATTTAATCCTTTAGTATTTTGAAAATCTATTTTAGATCCGATTTACGTCTTTCATTTGAATGAAGAAGCTAAAAGCACGCATCAGGTGTCATCAGTCCTATGGAACGGTCGGTTGAAGTGCGTAGCAACAAGTAAATTGTTGTTTCCTTTGATGGTTATATATATATATATATATATATATATATATATATTGCAATCCCATAGAGAGAGAGCGAGATTCGCTATATCACAGCTCATCATTGTGGCTAGACGTCCAGTTACCTTTAGCTAGGATCTAAACCCGGCTGAATTAGCGTCAGTTATAGAATCTACCCCTAAGCCGTTGAAGGTGAACTTTAGCGTATTTATTTGTAAACTGGCCAGTGACTGAGAGAACTGGATTCGTTTTATCGAAGTAAATTGCATATACATATATATATATAAATATATATGTGTGTGTGTGTGTGTGTGTGTATAAACGGTATATAAGAAAAAATTAGGGGAAAAAGCAAGATTGTTAAAAAGGAGAAAAGAAGTAATCGCATGTAGTCGCATGAACGCTAACTTACATTTAGTGCAAAACGCGTCACATGAAAACTTTTTTGTCATATTTCTTTCATCTTATATATATATATATAGTTTCGGTAGGGTGCGCATGTGTTTGAATTATTATCTTGAAATTGAAATATCTTTTGTTTATATTTTTATATAATAATCAGAGGAAATGGAAGACTTCTTAGAAGTCGATTCCTGGCTGGCTACAAAAGATGCCAAGTGCAGTTGTTTTCCCGACAAAGACAAAACATTCTTAGAGGATGTAATCAATAATGTTGAAAGAAAAAAAATGTCTTTTATTTTTATTTAATGTACACACGTACACACGTGCGTGCATATATATTATTTCACATGTGTGTGCGCGCGCGCGCACGCACACACACAAACACACACACACATATATATATATATATTAAATATAAGAATATAATAAAAATAAAATAAATAATATATACAAACACATGATGAGGATTATAAATAATTCCAGAACATTCCTCATTCGCCTCGTATACATTTCTTTCAAGTGTCTATATATAGAACCTAAACAAAAGAGAGTAACATTTGGTTTGATTAATGCTTGAGAATGCTAGTCATCATGCAGTGTTGATTTTCTAAATCCACACTGAATATATATATATATATATATATATATATATATATATATATATATGTATGTATCTATATATATGTTATTGAGGTATGTTTTGGTAAATGCATATTTAAAAACTAAACCTCCAGATCATAAATACTAATTCCCTCCCAATTGTTAATGAACTAATCCAATTAAACTTCCTAAATACCCAAAATATTACCTATAAAATGATAAGCAAACATACAGCCATGATGACGGTTAATGGCAATCGGAAGCGCTTGGCAAAACACCAAGGAATACGGTCTTTTTTCAACAAATTTAATATAAAAGAGAAAGTCAGAAAAACAGAAAAAATAGATTAAGTGGAAAATTTTAATTGTCTTTAACAACACATGGTACAATAATGACATGCTGCCAATACATATATATATATATATATATATATATATATATATATATATATATATATATATATATATATTATTTCAATAAAGGTGCAATTAATTTACAAATTCATGAATTATTCATACAAAAAACAAATACAAAAGGTTAATGATTTAATTGGCGAGAAATCCATCGTCGCGAACAATTCAAATAATATACAAAACCCCGAACCTGTTTATGAATGAAAAGATCCTTGTTTCTATAAATTTCTGTTGCATGAGGTTCTTATTATTTTTTACAAGCTTTCCTCTGTTCCTACAGACATCCTCAGGTATGGAATAGATTTTGTTCTTGTTTTTTCTCTCAGTAATAAAGAGGACAACGAAAATATATGTATTGTTGTAATCCGAAAATGCTCTTAGAAATGAGTTATTGTTTTTTTTGGGCGTGCTGTCGCAACGCTGAGTTTGAATTTAAATTTTACAATTGCGCGTTCTTATACAAATTTTAAAAATATAAAATATATTGTTAAATTCAAACTCAGCGTTGCGACAGCACGCTCCAAAAACAATAACTCATTTCTAATAGCATTTTTCGGATTAACAGATTGAGTGTGAAAAAATTTCTTATTATTTTTACAATCTTTCGTCTGTTCCTACAGACATCCTCAGGTATGGATGATAAGTGTATTTGTATGAATAATTCATGAATTTGTAAATTAATTGCACCTTTATTGAAATTAAAATAAATATGTATTTTAAGCATTTCATTTTAAGCAAGGCGAGAGTGCCATTTGTACGGAAGGGGCTCGAGAGTGTGTAAGTAAGGGGAAAGACAATGTATAGGAGAAGTTGAGGAAAGGATAAAAAGAAGAACGGAGTAAGAGAAACGGAGTTCCACTGTCGAGAAGTGTTAGACATGAAGCTGCTGGAGTAGAAGTGGTGGTTATATATAATTGTTTCGACAGTAAAAGGGTGGGTCGAGATGCTAACCTCGTAGCACGCTTAGATTATTGCAGTCGGGGCAACAGGGTAAATAGCTCGACAGAAAATATGCCATGTAAATATTGATAGAACAGACAGAGGGAAACCACATAATTCGGTAACAATGTAACTGGATTCGAGATCACAAATCAAGACCGATCACATTACATATCCGTCTTTGGATTTTGTCGAAAACTTCGAGATGAACAGCGGCGGCACCAGACCATATATGGCGAAAGTATTTCATGCATTGGCAAATGGTAGATTTGTAGGTGTGAAGGATGGACTCAGATGAGAAAAACTTTCTGGCGCGAAACAAACAACCAAATTTCTTTGCGGTAGATGTAGCAATTGATTCAATGTAGTTGTTCCACCTCAGTTTAGTGGAAGACGTGAGACTAAGGCGCAGTGAGGAATTCTCTTGGAGATGAGGGGCAACCATACTGATAGGAGACAGTGACATTTCTCTATGATGAGTAAATCATAGCAGTTTCGTTTTCTTGCCCCAGACAACGGCCAGGTTAACTTTGTCAGCGATGCCGGATTTACTATCGAGACAGGGGTAAATGGTAGTGTCGTCTGCGTAGATGCCGACTTGTGTACTGATGTCGTCAGGAAGATCATTGATGAAGTTCAGAGACAGTGTAGGACCAGGGATAGAGCCTTGAGGTACACCAGGGTTGGTATGGAAGGAACTGGAAGAGAAACCGCTCAGGACAATCTTTATCTCACGGTTAGACAGGAATGATTGTATTAAATCAAATAATCGTCCTGTAATACCGTATCCCTGAAGCTTAGGTGGAAGGCCAGCATGGCAAACCCAGTCAAACGCCTTCGATATATCTAGAACAACAGCTCAAGCTTCGCTATTATTATCAAGAGCTCGGTATACATATTCAGTTATGGCCGTAAGCACATCAGCGGTAGACCGGACAAAGCAGAAACCATATTGTTTGTCAGAGAGCAGATCGTGGGAAGTGAGATTCTTAACTAATTCGACATTGATTAAAGCCTCGAAGACTTTGCCGAAGAGGGGTAGGAGACTAATAGGACGGTAGTTAGATTGGTGAAAAGGGTCTCCAGAGTTTTTAAAAACACGGACAACAGATGAGGACTTCCATCATGCTGGAATGCAAGAGTCAGCAAGGCAATAGTTATATAGTTTTGTGAGAACTGCAGCCAGATTAGGAGCATGTTTCCTTTGGACTACAGCTGGCACCCCGCACCACCACTTGATTTATGAGAGTCTAATCTAGAGATAATGTCTAATAATATC